TTTCATATAATTAATTTTTCGCCCTTGTCAGCTTTCTTTACTGTCCAGCTTTCACACCCATACATGGTGAGTGGAAATACAAGAGAGCAGGGGTTTAAAGTCCTTCTCTGGGTCCCACTGACCTCACAGGCACTTCTGCTGAGGATGTTGTGTGACAACCAGGAGGCCAGCTCAGTTCCCTCCCGCGTGGCCTTTTAAACAGTGGCCCCCAACCTTGGGCCTCCAGATGTTCTTGGACTGCAACTCCCAGAAGCCTTCACCCACCACCTCTGCTGGCCAGGATTTCTGGGAGTTGAAATCCAAAAACATCTGGAGGTCCAAGGTTGGGAACCACTGTTTTAAAAGACAGGTGGAGACCGTCTTTTTTAGACAAGCTCTTAACAAGTGAATTGGACAATGAACACTTTCTGATTTGGAGATACCACACATTATTGCTGCTATTGTTTTTACACTTGTTTTTAACGGCTTCAAACCAGTTTTTAAATATTATTAAATAATCGTCATCATCTTAGAACTACAGTCCTAAAAGAGGGTGTATTATCTATTGACTTTTAAAAAATGAAATCACTTATTCAATCTTCATTTGGCTTTTTTAAAAAATATCTGTGAGCTGACTCGGGGCCCTTCATCAGGAGAAAAGTGGTGGAAAAACTGGAATCTGATTTTTAAAAAGTCTGGACAGAAATCAATTCCAGTCGCCAGGGTGACAATCCATTACATCCTATTGGCTCTCATTTCACAAATAACACCACCAACAACAACAATAAAGAATTTTAAAAAGATTAATTAAATCATTGCTTTCCTGCTCTTTCTTGACATCTGGTATCAGCTGCCTGAAGTGACTGCCTCTCTGTGCCTGACCATAGGACTGGCTTTGGTTTTCAAGTGACTTCCTTGGACTAATTTCTCAACAACTCGGCATTCCTTTGAGGTGCCAAAACGTCTGTTCTGTCCAGGCTTGGAAATCATATTTGTTATTTCTGAAATCTGCTGTAATTGGACTGGAAACGAGGGACTAGCACCTTGAACTCTGTGGTGCATTCCCCCCTCCCTTGACAAGAGTGTGGAAAAATGATTAGCATGTTGAATTCGTACATATTTAGAAGAGCCAAGCTCAACTTCCCAGGGAGCTATGGAACTGACAGGATGATGATATTTGTCAAGGCACATTATTTCTTAGTCTTGCCCTACCTTGCAGGGTTCTTGCGTGAATAACATGGGGAGAGGGAAAGGGAGTAATTTATGGTACTTTGAGCTCATTGGGGAGAAAGGCAGGATATAAAGCTCTGCTTACAAATATGCATTAGAGCAAATAATAACAAAGAAAAATGATCTTCCTCTAAATTTACCGCAGATGTCACCTGAGTGAAGCATCACACTTACCTCCTACAAAAAAGGCTGCCCCGGAAAGCTTCATCGTGGTGCAATGCAGAATACAGTACTGGATACGTAGTGAGGATCCAGGGAGCTGAAGTCTTACAAGCTGAGATCCTTCCTGACTCTCTGGAGAGTTTAAAAAAACAAACAAACCTAGTTCTGAGATTTGAGGTGAGGAATTCTGAGGGAAATAAGTCCTCAAGATGGCATGAGTAAGAATCCTAGTTGAAGACACTACCTGGTCAGTTTGCCACAGGATTATAAGAAGGGTAGGAGAGGCTGACTCTAGTGGAATACGGATGTTTGTCAATGCTAAGCTTGATTTGAATTTCAAATCAGAACATGATTCCCTGAGGGGAGATTTCAAAAATTGACCCCTGGCAGCTATGAAGGAAAAGATCATTTCATCAAGTGTCATTGAAGATCAAGGTGAAGCTTACCCTCACTGATGTATTTCCCATTACTATGTATGGAGATAGGCTGGCTGGATAGCTCAGTGGTTTAGGTATCTGGCTAAGGAGCCAGAGGTTGGGAGTTCGATTCCCCACTGTGCCCCCCAATGAGTAAAGCCAGCCTGTGCGGCCTTGGGAAAACTGCACAGTCCCAGGGAGCCCCCAGAAGAAGGGGATGGGAAACCACTTCTGAGTATTCTCTACTGGGGAAAAAACCCCCAAAAAGGGTTGCTGTAAGTCAGAACTGACCTGACAGCACATGATGATGATGATGATATGGTGATGATGGTTGTAAAAGTTGGTAAGTTAGTCAATGAAGAAAGCCAGCAGAAAAACAACAATCACCGTTCATTTGAAATGCAGTCCTGGAGATCATTGTATGTAGATACAGTGGGTGGCCAGAAAGACAAACAAGTAATTGTTAGATCAAATCAAGCCCAAACTTTCTCTCGAAGCAAAAACGACTAAATCGAGGCTATTATACTGTTGAGCACATCATGGGAAGAGAAGACTCCATGGAAAAGGCAATAATGCTAAGAAAGTGGAACGGGGAAGACCAAGTATGAGATGGATGGGCAAACCGAAGGAAGCCACCAACTTACATTTGCAAAAGCTGCGCAGGGCTGTTAAAGACAGAACATTGCGGAGGTCACTCGTTTGTAGGGTTGCTTTTGTTCAGAGCCATTTTTACAGCATGTAACAAGAAAATTGGAAAGACCTTTTCCAGGAACTGCCATCAGAACCTGTAGACCTTGGCCAGGTTGGCCCTACAGAAGCTGTTATTGATAAACCCGTTCGTTCTGTCAATAAAAACTTTATTAGAAAAGACACGACGTCTTCATTTTTTCCTGCCAAAATCCAGGAACTGTCATACACGAGTGATGAACCCTGTCACCATGTCCATGAGCTGCTTGTGCTCCGGCTGCAAATCAGGCTGGCCCCACTTCCCTGAGCTTCCAGCAGGCAGTCAAAAAGGTACGGCTCTCTCTTTGGCCTCTGATTTTTGATTTTTTTTCAACCCCGGCCCTCTCTTCCCCCAGACACAACTGGTTATTAAAGAACATTTTAACACATTTTTATTGTATATCCCTTTGGGAAGCCCAGTAGGCCAAAGTGCAATTCTATTAAAACACTTTAAATATTAATTAATTAACTAATTAACTAATTAATTAATTAATTAATTATTTCCCACCTATCTGGTCAATTACGACCATAAATAATACGAAAACCATTTAAAAAAGAAACCAACACTGCTCAAAGACCAGATTGTTCCTAACAATCCCCTTAAGGTTCACAGCTCTGAAGGGAGACAACATTTTCTCCACAGAGACTTATTTGGCAGCTTCGGCTAACCGGTTGAAAGCTTGGGACAAGGCCGTGACAGTGTCCAAGATACGAGACCGATGCTGCTCAGCTAAGCGTGCGCCGCAGCGTTGGGCAAACTTGTCTGGGTGCCACAAGGCCTGCTGGCGCCGGAGGAAGCGCCGATAAGCGGCTTTATCAGAGGGGTCTGTGTGGTGGAGCGCCACAGCCGCCATCTCCTCAGGCGTCCCAGTTGGGCATGGCCAAGGAATGTCGCCATAACGCAAAAGTTGCGAACTGTCGGCACAGAAGACCCGGCTGCAGCCTTCCTCGTAGCGTCGTCTCTTGGCCTCCTTCAGTTCTTCTTCTTTGGCCTGGGCACGCTTCTTGTATAGCCGATGTTCCTCCTCCAGGAGCTGCTGTGACTTCAGGGATGGCTTTGGGGGTTGAGCTTTGGGTCTCTGGTGATGCCGTTCCTCTCCCTTCCGCTGTTTTTTCCTGTATTCCTGGAATATGCGATCAGCCCACGTCTCAAAGCTTTCCGGCTCTGGACTGGTGGAGTAGAAATCCTCTAGGAAGGGGGAAAAGAAAGGGGGAACATGAAATGGGATGTGGGAGTATTATGTTTATTGACCATATAGTAACAAATAAAACAGAATGAAAAAAGTGGGTGGGGGAGGCGCTGGGGACAACAGAAGAGCCAAAAGGAAACAGAGATCACAGCCTACGTTTTTCAAAACATTTATAACTACCTTACTCAGAACTCTACAATACCTGTCACAGTAGCAAACTAAATAAATACATATTTTAAAAAAACCCACACATTTAAAGTGTTCAGAAAAAAAAGGAGAAAAAGATTGTGAAATACAAATGGAGGAGTAGGCAATACCTCTATTAGACCACTAAAGGAATCAAATAGATAGAAAGCTTTTGATGATAATTCATCTTCTGAGATTAAGACAACACTGTAAAAACAATTAGGTTTGGAGTGTGGGTGGGTGGCTGGATAGGAAGGTAACTCAGCTCTGGCAATGAAAACAAAGTCTTTGCTCCCACATTTAAGTAAGTCCTCTACCAAGCCATCCTGCAAACACTTCGCTCAAGTTGCTGCAATGGTAAAACGCAGGCTTCGTAGCCTGAGATCTAGCCATCCCAAGGCTGCTCTTCTCTGCCTCAGTTGCCCTCTGCACAATGGGGAGAATAATAATTCCAGTCCTACTGGGCGATTGTAATAGTGCTGTTGTAAAGGTTATTGTTTTCATTAGGGCACTCTAAACACTTCAGACATACCATAAATGTTTATATGGTTATTATAGTGCTAAGCTAAACTATAGCGTAGTTCTAATCATCATCATCATCTTAGAACTGCTGTAGTTCTAATCATCATCATCATCATCTTAGAACTGCAGAGCTGAAAAGGACGCTAGGGATCATCGAGTCCAGCCCTTATCAAGGAGGCACAGTGGGGGAATCGAACTCCCAACCTTTGACTCCACAACCAGAGACGTAAATTGTTGAGCTGTTCAGCACATGTTCCAAGCCTACCCCTATACTATAGATGGAAAAACTGAGTCCATAAAGTGCAGCTTGCCAGCCACTAATTAGTGGAGTTTGTGTCTGAGATAAAAATTGAGCTAAGAATTTCCTGGTTCACTGCTCAGTTACTCCCTTCTGGGGATCCCACTTGCTAACAAATAAGCCATGCCACGTTTTTCCTTCTCCTCCTCCTCCTCTTTGATGTCATCATGGTGTGCTCTAGAACAGGACTCAAAAACTTTTCCTACGATGACTTTGCAGGTGGGTCTTGTCCAAGGTCTTGAAATGATGTGCATACACCTGGGAGGCAGGAAGGTTTTAAAGGTCGGATCATACTTCCGCACTATTAGAGCGCAGGCCAGGTAAGTAGGGCTCGTCAGCCATGGAAGGCAGCCCATCTAGGAGAAGGAAAACTCCGATTTCAAACCTCCGCTGCCTTGTAGCTATATCCACTTATGGAAAAGGCTTCAGGAGTTAACCTTGAGGCAAAATCCGGAGCCAAATTCCCAGAGGCAGTTCGTGTCATTCTGCCAACTCCTGCGACGTTGCTGGAACCAGTTTTATTGGCTCTTGCCTTTCCATTGGACAATTTCAGCAACGTGGAGAGGGGGGATCTGCTGCTTGGGTAACAGCCTATCCTCCATATTACCTTACCCAGGCTTCATGCTCTGGAGAGGACACTCCTCGATTCAGAACATGTTACCATAGTCTCTCAAGACTGAAGGATGCCTATGATGATGATGAAATGATGTCTGTGTCTAGGCTAGCGGAGAGTGGAGAGTGGCTGGGTCAACTGTAGCAACCAAAAATCTTCATGGGGTTGACAACTGGGGAAAGGATTGAATATACACAGCTAAAGCAGGGCATGTTTCAAAAAGTAGCCTGCAACAGTGGGGAGTGGAACCAGACAGACATGAGGCAGCACAGTACTAGGACCTGCTGATCCTTATGCCACTTGGTTTGTGTTCAGAACAACCACAAATATTATCCACAATCCTATCGGCTAGTTCTGCCAGCCTACATGCAAGGATGCAAATCACAGCTAGCCGCCCCACCCGCTCTTCGCAATCCAGGATGTTAAAAACAGGAACATCAAGGAAGGAGGCCATTAGAAACTGGGCTTTTTCGGTTGTGGCCCCACATCTCTGGAATAAACTTCCAGCCGAGGTTTGCTGGATACCTTCCCTCAGTCTTTAAGAAGTTAGTAAAAACAGAATGGCTCAAAGCTGCCTTTTGTTAGTTATCATACCTGTGATGTCCAATATAATTTTAAATAGTTTATTCAAAGATAGGTTAGCTAGGCAGTGGGCTTACTGACTGTATGATTCATTGTTTGTGGATTTATGTTTGCATATAGTTTTGTATTTATTTATTTATTCATTCTTTGCTTGTATGCTTTATTGTAAACCACCCATATGTTGTACCATGAGATGGTATATAAGTGGGAGGGAGGGAGGGATGGAGGGATAGATGGATGGATGGATGGACAGACAGACAGACAGATATCCTTGGCTGCTCACTGTCCCTCATCACATATCAGTTCATGTGACTCGCATGCAATGAGGGCTACAAACAGAAATGTAACAATAAGGAAGCCCAACCCAGCTCACACCTCCACAGGGAGGCCCATCTTACAATGCACTGTGAACACCCAGACTCTAAGAAAAAGACCAAATCTCACCTCCATATTGCCAGAAAGTCTCCTGATATTCATCCTCCCATTCACCAAGAAGCTTGTGACGCCACTCCCGCTCAGAATCTTGTTCTTCCTTGTTTTTCTCAAATGTCCCTTGAGGGCACTGTGGAGAATGACAAGATATCAGAACCCCTGTTTGAGGGAAGAACATCTGAAAGCCAACCTATCTGGCTGTATCCTTCCTTACGAGTACAAAATTGTAGCTGCCATCATCACCATATGCCATCAAGCCAATTCTGACTTATAGTGGCCTTTTCAGAATTTTCTGGGTAGAGCAATATTCCCTTTCTTTTTTCGCTCGTGTGGAAAGGAGCCCTGCCCCATTCGTGTGGGGTTCTGGATGCAATCGGAAGCAAATGGGGAGCAACTCTGGCTTGGCGGCTGGACTCCTGATCCAGTGCTGCATGGCCACATGGCCGTGCAAGTTAGAGGAAACAGTGACCTGGAGAATACTCAGAAGGGGCTGACCATTCTCTCCTTCTGGGGGTGCCCTGGGACTGTGCAGCTGGGCTGACCTGGAGAATACTCAGAAGGGGTTGACCATTCTCTCCTTCTTGGGGTGCCCTGGGACTGTGCAGCTGGCCCAAGACCACACAGGCTGGTTCTATTGATAGCAGGCACCGTGTGGGAATCAAACTCCCAACCTCTGGATGCACAGCCATACACCTGAACCTCTGATCTATCCAGCCAGCTATACAGAGTTGCACTGATAGTTTGATACCCATTTCTCTTCTGTTTGTGCCAGCAGTTCTCCCGGAGTCTTGCCATCTCTGTTTCTGATGCTCATAGCAGAAGGGCAACGGGTTCGTAAGGGTTCAAAAAGGTCTTCGTACACTGTGAAAGAAGAGAGGAAAACCCAAAATTATTAAACTTGGTGACTACAGACTTCAATGAAGGAAACCATCCCGTTCACAGTGCCATCTTGTGGTTAGCACATGTTTACTGCAGCTCAGAAATCTATTGTATCTCTGGCCTCCAACTCTCTTTGATCAGATTCTGTTTACTTTAAAATTGATGATCCATCTGCTCTTATTTCTGTGTCACGGCAGTGAAGATCTAAGAGGCAAAAGGGAAACTCCTATCAAAATTTAAGTTGCTCTTTGCACGGAGGAGGAAGGGGTGATAGGAGGAAATGATGAAAAGAGCGATAAATAGACCCTCAAAAGGCAGCTAGGAAAAGTGGAACAGTGGACATGAGACAGAGTGACTTAATAAAGAAAGCCACTGCCTTTTATTTGCAAGGTCTGAGTATGGCTGTTAATGAGATATTCATTGATGGGGTCAACATAAGACAGAAACAATTTGATAGTGTGTAAGAGCACAACAATCAGTTGAGCCCTATCTGTGCCTTCCCCTTACTGTGGAAAAAGTACAAAGATGAGAAGCAGCATGCTGAACCCAGAGAGACAGTCTACTGTAGTAGTTAAGAGTACTGGACTCTCACAAGATCTGGCTTTTAGTCCCCACTGAGCCACAGAATTCACTGTGTGACTGTGGGCCAGTCACTCAGTTGGCTTAACTCCCAGGATTGTTCTGAAGATATAGTGGAGAGGAAGAAAGCCAGGTATACTATACCACATCTTGAGCTTCCTAGAGAAAAGCTAGGATATAAAAGGTATGAAAGAATTACGTAAATAAATAACAAACAAAAAAACCCCCAATAACCAAG